CATTCATTTTTTTCATAAACTTTATCTATTCCTTCTGCAGGACAGCAGCATGTCTTGTCACGGTAAAGCTCTCTTCGCGTTAAGCATAATTGTGAAGGTTAGTGGTAGTTTCCTGTCAGTCATGACACATTGATGTTTTTCTTCCTCTTCTTGCTTGAGATGACCTTAATGTCTCATCTTTTTCTTACTTGCAGGAACATAGTGAATATTCTTTGGCTCATTTGGATGAAATGATGCTATTGCTTCATGGAATGAAGTCAGCTTTGGATAGCACAGTTTTAGAAAGCCAACTATTATGCTACCAGCATTTATTGGTTCACATGATTAAGGTAGGTTGACAGTTGGTAATTTTTCCCAATTGATCATAATGTGATTAGTATCTAGAGCTTTGCTTTTAGAGGGCCTGTGTTTTACTGGTGCTTTGTTTGAAACCATTATGGGGTTTCTCTGGACTATCATGCAAAGCCAGAGTCTATTTTTCCTTGCTTATTCGTATATGCCTGCAGACCATGCTTATATTGTTACATCTCAGTGATGTCTACACAGAAATATAAAATAAATAAAAGCAGGGTCTTTTACAGTACTCAAGTTGCTTTTGTTTCAAATTTATCTAGTAAACTTGTACTCGACAAGTAAACAACTAAACATTTCAATTACAGGTAGGAACTGGTCAAAAGGCACAAGTTTGTTTTCTAAGCTGCACTAATCGAACTTAACATGCATCAGAAGTAGACAACTATACATTAATAATTGGACATGAACAAATGACTTGTACTTTTGCAAAGTGTGTGTGCATGCGTGTTGTGCCTATAATAAATATGTAACTCAATGACGACTTCATTCTTCATCTTTATGTGTTTATCTGATCAGATTTACTTAACTAAGACATCACGATGTCATTTTGAAATTGGATGTGCCTGTTACTGAGTCACGAGCGATGAACATAATGTTTATTGAAATATGACTGCATTTCTTATCTTGCGTTGTGTTCATGAATTGCCTTAGCTAGTTTTGTTTTATATAGTTTGGGTTTGTCTTGTATTTCTCTGACATACATTTCTACTATTTCAAGGTTAATGAAGAGAACACCAGCAAGAAGGCATTCTTGATTCTAAATGAGCTAATAGTTGCACTAAAGGTTTTCCTTTCTTACCTTCACATGCTAAACAATTATTAAATGTGTATTAGATAATATCCTGCCAAAAGTACATCGTTCCTGTATGGAAATCTGAACAGTAATGGTGTATGGAAAAGGTTGTAACATGAGAAACTCTCTTTCTCTGATGCCAATTTTCTCTATTTATTCAAATTTCCTTTCTTTTTTTTCTGGTGCAGTCTAAGAAGGAAAGTAGAAAATTAGCGTATGATGTGCTCCTGGCAACTAGTACAAACTTGAGGAGCTCAGAGTCAAATAGTGCAGATTTAGATCTTCAACGACTGTTTACAATGGTTAGCTACATAAAATACTCTATTCTTAACATATTTCCTTTTGTTTTATTTGGTTTTGAAATTTATTAATAGTGTCTTGTCGGACAGTTACCTTTTGTTTCCTGCTGCTAGTTATTTCTGCCGAACATTTTTCCGAATAAACTTATGGCATTTCCTCTGCATTTAGATATGGACTGACATGTCCATCGGTATCTTTAGGCTTCATTTGGATACATCCCCTCAAATCCAAACATATTACTCCTCCATTCCAATGTAGGTTGTTTTAGTTTTTTTCTATGTCAAACTTCTACAATTTTGACTAAGTTTATAGAAAAGTGCACCAACATCTAGAACATAAAATGATTTCATCAAATCCACTGTGAAATATTTCTTGATAGTGCACTTATTTGGTATTGTAGATGTTAATATATTTTTTGATAACTTCGGTAAAAGTTTGAGAATACTCCATTTTTAGTCTACTTTGAAGATATACAATCACCAACACTAAGATTTAAACCACTAATAGTATCACAAAACACTCCGATTGTTTCTCTTAGGAGCAGAGGGAGGCATCTTCTAAAGGATAGCAGGTTATATTTTGCTACACAATTGTCATGGAAAATATAGAACTATGGAGGCTTTTGAATAAGTAGTATCCATGGTGCTTACACCTCGTAAATTATGTGATGAGCAACGAAACCGCATGAAGATCGCAATGGAGCTGTAACAGTAGCTAATCAAATGCCTAGCCTTTTCTTTTTCCAATTCACAACTATTTGCAAACTTGTAATGTCTATAAATCACATGGATTATTTTGTGTGAACGGCATAAATGATCAGTGTAATTCTATATGTTAATTGCGTAAGTTGCATTTACGAGTTTTATTATTGAAGCTTATTGACTATCTTCTTTTTATTCAGGTAATGGGATATCTTTCAAGTCCATCTCCTCACATAGTGAGTGGAGCAATTGCTGCACTATCATTGCTTATATACAGTGATGCTAATTTTTGCATGGAAGTACCGAATCTGATAGAGTCAGTATTAGTTTTGCTGCAACATAAAGCCATTGAAGTAACTAAAGTCAGTTCTGTGATTCCCTATGTCCATCTTTTCAGTTCTTTTCCTAATTCCTATTGTTGAGGGTCTGGTATGCTCGATTTTAGGCAGCCTTGGGCTTTGTCAAGGTATTGGTAACTTCTTTGCAACCACAAAAACTATTGAACTTGCAAGCAGATATCGTAAGTGGGATATTACCATGGTCATTGGTTACAAAGCACCATTTCAAAGGGAAGGTTGGTAGAAATATTCCAAGGCTTAATTCCCATTTTTTTATTGTTTTCTGTACAGGGGTACGAATGACATGCTGTGATCTTATATTTGCAGGTTGTACTAATATTAGAAATATTGATTAGGAAATGCGGGTTTGATGCTATCAACTTAATTACACCTGACAAGTTCAAGGGCTTTGTTAGAAGTGTTGAAGAGGTTAGATTCAAATTACTAACTTGCCATTTAGCCGTGGAAACAATATATTATTTGTTTGATCAATGGGGCATGTTTTTAGTGAGTTCTTTTATGAACTTTATATTGGTAACGACTAAGAGCAAAATTGATTGCATGTGTACCTGTGACATATTTTGGTAGCCCTGTATATGTATTTGTAAACAGCATGCCTTGTTAAGGCATATGATTTGAAGCAGATCATTAAATACTTTTTAGTTATTACTCAGGTGGTAGAAAGATCCTGTACTGATTTTTTTAGTATGTACTATATTCATCCAGTTAATACAGATACATCGTTTGTACCTTATGTTCTACTCCATATGTATCATCTCAAAATAGTGTGTACTTGCAATTTTCAGGGTCGCAAAGGAAATCGTAACCAAACTGATGGTGCACATCTCGAGGCAAAAGAACATGAGCAACGTGATGGCAAAAGGTTAGCGCGGAGTCATTTTTTCCGGTGCTTAACAAATTGCTTAATGGTTTATTGTTGTACAGGAGGAAACGGGTTGACTCTAATGCTGAAACTGGACAAGATGGAACACCTAGTCGACCACCACCAAATAGTTGGTTAGCTGGGAAGAAGCAGGGCAGGGATTTTCATTTGAAGAAAAGGACAGGGAGAGGCAACCCTCATGCTGCAAAAAGGCATCAAAGCAGAGATTCAGGTGGCAAAGGCGATAGGACTAATTTCAAGCCAAAGTCAAAATGGCAACCAGGAAATAGCCAAGGAAACAGAGGCGATAAATCGCCTGGCAGCAACCAAAAAAGAACTAGGGGCGGTGCCTCCAGCAAGATGCAAAATAGTGAGGCTCGAGCACCTGGGCACTCTCCTAGTTTCAAGAAGCGTAAGAGATCGACAGCATAAGATGTTTCACTTGCACCACCCTGTCACCTCACCTACCGGGATTCATGGCTCGTGGGGATGGCTCTGAATATTGCAATGTCGACCCCAGCTTTTACCTACTAGTGCTTTCATCTTGAAGATCTTTGCAAAACTTGTGTACTCGTCCATGTTGTGAATCCACCGTTTTGTAGAGTAAAATTTTGACTTGTAGGTGGATTGAGTACCGTTGCAATCAATGGATTTTGGTTATAAAGAAATCAATAGCGGATCTATCACTTTGGTTGATCACGTCCTTGCCTGCTTGTATCTACCCTTGTGACGGTTTCAGCCGTTCCGTTTCTGACATGTATGATGTTGGCAAAATTGTCCAGTATTCCCGGGAATAATACCTGGGCATCAGTAGTGGATCCGCCCCTGAGAAGCAGCCAAAGATCTTCCACTATTTGAGGACGATATCGAAGCCACCTTTGACGAGCAAGCTGAGCTGCAAAGGCTCATACCCTCAGAAAGCAAATAGGTGACCTAAAAACCCAACGGCGGCCTAGTATTTCAGTAAAAAAACAACAACTGAACCTAAATATGTACTTGCTCACATGTAGAGCCAAGTTGAACATAGGTCTTCAGGTGAATTACGGTCACAGTCGTAGCAGCATCAGCAAAATGCTTACGATGCCAAGTTTAGGCAACCAAGATATAAGGTCAAGCCCAAGGCAGAAGAACTACCTTCGGCAATCTGTTAACCCCCATGGCTCGTTGGCTACTGTAACAGCATGGAAATTCAAACAGGGAAATCTCACGAATTCAAAAGAAAGCTATTTTAAAAACACATTTATAAGTCTAAACATCAATCTGGGATCCAATGTCCCATCTGGCTCGAGACCTCCCTTGGCGCAGCCCAATCTCCCACTCGATTACCCTTAGCCGCAGCCCAAATCAGTCCAGCCCAACTACATGCAACCTTGAGTTCTTGACTCTTGAACCCGAGCGCCCAAACATTACCCACGTCATCCCAAAGAAACATCGGAATAATACTATACAAGATAAATAGATACAAATTATAGTCACCACACACGGTAATCAACAATTAGTAATTTGACTCCCACGCATCATCAGGTTTAGGTTAGGTGCAACATTATGAAGAGGTCTCTTGTCTGAAACCGGAACTTATCCATTATTTATTAAATAAAGGTGCAACATTATGAGGACTTCTCTCATGTTCTTCACCTCGGATATTTGGACACATAAAGATCTTCGAGGTCATTTTCCTGGTTAGCCACCGTTTCTTCACTTTCTTCCATAGCATCAACCTCGTCCTCACCTAAATTTAGCAAAATATTATTAACTTTGATGCTAGCATAAGAAACTCGAATGCTGAACTGATCTGGTACCTCACAGCCTTGCAGCTTCTTAACTCCGATGACACCAAGTGCTAGACTGGCTGAACCTCCTTACAGTCTGTTGTATAATCTTTCAGCCATGTTTCCTTCTCATCCTTGTCCTCGACCATTAGGTCTTCGGACCATCTCTTGATTTGAAGTGTGGGGCGTCCAGGATGGATGCTGGCTGTTGTGTTCCTGATGGCAGCCTCTGCAGCCTCTACCCTACTTCTAGTAGCACCATAGCAATAAATGTCGACACTGAGGTTCTCCAGGCTTGCAAGGTGCTCAAAGGAGAACTCAAAACCCATATCAGACTCTGATTCTTCTGCGTTAAACTCGAGATTAAATCTTTTGAGCATTGGCATCGCTTCCCTTTCACAAACCATCCTCAGCCCACCAATCCCTTTGGTCCGGAAAACAAACTCTTTCAGGCAACAGAATAGTTGGCTGCCGATGGTGAGCCTGTCACCAGGGGCTTCACTTGAAATCAGACTGACGTAAAGCAGTGAGGGAATGCCTCCGAGTATGCAGAGCTCTTCCTGTTTAATTTTAGTGACACCAATGCCAAGGTGGGCAAGACTAACAAGAGATGACACCCTTTGCGGAAGTCTACTAAGAGAAGGACAGCATATGAGCTTCTGAAGACATCGAGCATCACTGCATATTGAATCCATCAGTTTATCTGCTGCTGGGTAATCTCCAAAGTCAATCTCCAGTGACTTCAGCTCGTGTTTGGCCAACAGAGTGAGAGATGACTCTAAAGACTCCTGGTACCTCTCCATGTCATGATCACCAAGTTTATCTCTGCAACTGCAATGCAGTTGGATTCCAAGGATCCTTAGATTGGTTAATCTTCTGAGCTGTCCCACAAAGTTCACCGGGTTACAAGGGCAAACGAATGAAAGCGTGCGTAGGGCTTGAAGATTTCCGATATCATCAGGAAAATACACATAATAACCACCAACAAGGAAGTGAACCAAATTTTGCAGACGACCAATGGTTGGTGGAATTTTTTCTATAATACTGCCACTCAGATCTAGTGTCTGCAAATTCTGTAGGTGTCCAATTCTATTTGGAAGATTGGTAATACCAGCAGAATTGAGTTTCAAATACTTTAACTGGATAAGGCTTCCGAGATACTTGATTTGCTGGTTACCAAGATGCCCATAATCCTCATCTTCCAAAACCAATACTCTCAAGTAACAGAACTTTGAAAGTTGAAATGTTTGCTTATCTAATTCATGGAAGCTAATAAGTGAACGGATCTGCAAGCACCTGTCCATAATCTCCTGCATCACTCCGTTTCCCATACATCTGGATTGAAGAGAGAGCCTGCGAACTTTATTGGACTTATATGCATGGCCTTCAACTATTGTGGTAAAGTTCTGTTCTGTGGACTGGGATATGATAAGATCAAGCACCATATCATGGACTCGACAGCCACCAGCCCTACCATCATACATCATATCTTAGGTTGTATCAAGCTTCTATTGATAAGATCACTAAAATAGTTTTCTCCTATTTGATTTCCCCAAGGATTGTCCCTTCACTTGAGTGATAAAGCCATTAGCAGCAACAATATATCCAACATGCCGTATAGAATTAACTTTCCCATTGCTCTTTTATCAATCTTGTTAGCTATAGTCATGAGAAACTCTTCCAAGTGAAATACTTTGGAAACTATAAAAGATATCATCAGAAGGTTGAATGAATATATCTTAAACAAATGAGCCACATCAATTTGTCTTGAAGATCATATTATAGTAGCTTTAAGATTCCCATGCAGCTATGCTCCAAATATCATCAACGATGATGAGGTAACAAGGAATATATCAAAAGCTCCAACATCAGAATCACAAATGCTAAATTGCACACTTTCAAAGCATATATAGAAACCATAGAATCTTTTGACTTGCCCCTCTAGTGTCATAAGCCAGTTCGTTTTTAACATTGACACATATACTTTTGCATCTTATCTTGCAGGAATGCTCTGAGCTTGTCTTAGCATCATCTGACGCATCAACTCCAGAGCATATCGGTCAGTATCTTCTTTATGTTAGCTAGTGGCAAACCATGGCACTGGGCTTTTTTATAATTGCATGAGAAACTTCTTCCAAGTAGGGAGGGCAGCAATGCTTACTTTGGAAAACCCTTTTATAAAACAGCTTCTGAGAGTCCTCGTCACTTAGAGGTTGAATGTTGTGAATATATCCTTCTAAACTAGAGCAACAGGATTGAGCCACATCAATTTGTCTTGAGGTTGTGAAAATAATTTGTCTTTGAGCCCCTCAAATCCTCCCTGCGCCTAGAGAGGTTGAGTGGCCGTAGAGAAAGGAGCTCGTCCCTCAGGAACAGGATCCCGATCAGCGCGGTGAGCTTGTGGAGAAGGGAGTTCAGCTCTGATCTATCGTGCTTGACCTTGGTTGTTGGAAGCTCTCGGTAAGCGGCGCGAGGGCTTCAGCGGTAGTGGCGGCGGCGATGGGCCGCGATCCGATCGGGGGGAGAATTTTGGCGCGTGTCGATCGACGCGAGCGGCAGCGAGAATCACGATCCGTTGTGTCGATCGATCGTCGAGGGCGAGTGGACGGCAGTGGAGTACTGTAGATGCAAAGTGTACAGGTTTGGCCGGAGAAAGGAGGATCCGAGCTCTCGTTGTTGGAAGGAAACCCGACGGGAGGAGAATTTTGGAGTGTCGATCAGCGAGCGGCGGAGGTTGTGTCGACTGTCGAGGCCTGTAGATGCTGCTGGTTCACCATAGTACGAAGCAGGCCACTGCTGGTTCACGCGTCTCGCAGTCTTGGCCCACTAGCCGCATGCAGCCTGTTCGGGAGGCTGTAAACGATCGTGGATTATTTACTGCTGGTTGATTTGGTGTGAGAGAAAAATTTGCTTTTCACTAAAATTTTACAATATATATTGGCGCGCAACAACATTTTTTTTTTAATATATTATTTTTTCTTTTTTTAAATATTACTAGTATCTCCCTGTATTTCTCTAACTTAAACTAACTTTGATCTAATCTACAGAAAAATATATTAGCGTCAATATTATCAAACGAATATGAAATTAAAATATATTTCATGGCATGTCTAATAAATTTTGTTTGATGCTGTAGATGTTTTTGTTTTTTTTCTATAAACTTGATCAAAACAAGAGAAGTTTGAATCATAACAAAACTAATAAAACCTATCTTGCATTGCTTGAGAAAAAAAAACTAAAACAACCTAAAATTGGAACAAGATGAGTAGTACTCGCATATATGTCTCGCCGTTGCAACGGGAGTTATTTTATAATTTACAATTATTTTGATGTGACAAATCTATAAGTTATTTCTTGCGTGGGGTCCAGGCCGAGGACCAAACTACTCCCTCCAAAAACTTGTCCTGAATTCTTGCCGGCATATCACTAGTTACTTAATGCTATTTATTTAATTTAGCCACCAAAATCCAAAATTTTCCAAGATTCTTTCAGCCATCGAATCTCCGCACTTACATGGAGCATTAAATGTAGATAAAAAGAATTACTAATTGCACAATTTGCCCGTAATTTGATCGTGAATCTTTTAATCTAAATAGTTCATAATTGGATCATTTTTGTCCTAAAATGAAAGTGTTCTGATGTACATTTTCGGGTGCAGGAGGGATCTAAACACCCCCTTAATGTAGCCTCTCATCTGTTTGCGGTAGACTGAATTAGGGCGTGTTTGCCAAGGCTCTTTCGGGCTCCAGCTCCGCACTACAGTACCGAAGGAACCGGAGCTGGAGGCGGCACGAATCGTGACTTTTTTATCAGAGAGAGAAAAACAGCTCCTATAAACAGTGTTGCTACATTACGGGGTGCAGAGGAGCCAGAACCGCAAAAGGCCCTGCCAAACACACTCTTAGCGTTGTGCGAGTTTCCTTATCACCTTAGCACATCTGTAACTGTTGAGATCGCAGATAATCCAAGAATTCAGTTACATTTAGTGTACGAAATTAGGATCGAGTATATTCTCCCATTTCTTTCTCCGAATCCTCCCAGTGCAATTCGAAATTTACAGTTACCAGCCTCTTACACAAGGGATCCGCAGGTCCACAAACTCCACCAACAAAAACTTCAGCTCCTAGCTCGTTACAGACCGGAAGACAAGTTCTGTGATTCTGTCTCAGCTTAGCTCGGACTCCAATTCGTCTCGACCCTGGCCTTGTGCTTCCTAGTTCCTACACTATTGTAGTTTCAATGGACACAACAAGAATAACTTACATGAAGAGCCAAAGCAACGACAGAGTCAAAAAGCCTTACAGTACACGTATGCCCAAAACCCGAATTCATGGGAAAATGGCTTCAACAAATGCCTCAGCGTCAAAAGGTTGTAGGTCTTCCATCCCTTCACCAACCCCAATAAACTTCACCGGGATTCCAAGCTCATCCACAACGCTAACCTGTAACAGACCAAGCAAGAAAATCCACAGGTGAGACTGTAACAATGGCCATTTTTCAGTTTGTTTATGCAACAAAGCTGTGCCTACCACACAGCCACCGCGCGCAGTGCCATCAAGCTTTGTCAGGATGAATCCAGTGACTCCTACAACCTAGAAAAGAGCCAAGAGAGTACAACATCACCAATAATCCTCCCCTTTTTCCTTTTTTAGCGAGGACACCAATAGTCCTCTTGAACAAATGATGATGAAATTTAATACTGAATTATCAGGTGCGGTGATTACATCATTGAACTCCCTTGCTTGCTGTAACATGTTCAAGCCAGTCGTTCCATCAAGGACCAGCAAAATCTCCTGGAGACCATTAGACAATATGTAGTTATTACCAACTAAAAATGAGCAAATAATAAATCAAATTAAATCTGTATACATTGAATACAGCATACATTTGGAGCACCAGGAAGCGCTTTAGCTAGGACTTTTTTGCAAGAAACCAGCTCTTCCATCAAACCGTAATTTGTATGAAGTCCTGCAAAAGATGCTCCAATGTAGTTAATTTCAGCCCCCATCAAGTAAATACCTAAACAGATGATAATCGAAGTCTGTAACAACAACCATACTTCCTGATGTATCACACAGAACCACATCAAACCCCTCACGCTTCCCGCGCTTTACTGCCTGCGAAAGAACTACCAAACAAGTCAAATTAGATGAAACATAAGAGCATAGTCCCAATGAGGGAGCAAAGTGCTTTCATAATGCTCGGCAGACCATGTGGTCATACCTGCTGGAGGCTGTGCCTTCTTATCATTGTCAATGACAATCTCAGAACCAGTTCTCTCAGCCCAAACTTCTAGCTGGTCACGAGCTGCTGCTCTGAAGGTATCACCTGCTGCCATCAATACCTATATTATGGTTCCAAGCAGGAGACGCAAACTGATTAATTTATTTGTGGGAAAACATGGTTGATCAAAAACAATAAATAGAGTGTAAGCAGTACATTATAACTACACTGTAGAAGCAATGTCCTGAAGCAATACATATAGCTGGACCTTTTCCCACACAACTAAGCCTATAAAACAGGAGATGTCAAGAAAATAGACTCACCTTCACTCCTTCGTTCTTAAACCTATAAGCAAGCTTGCCTGCATAATACAACAAATGAAAAGCATGAATGCATGATCAATCTATGGTACCAGTTGATAGCATCATGTTGTTGAATTCATCGAAAACATCCTTTCAAAATTAATTAAGTAAAGTGGCAAACTAAGCAGTGGATCGAGTCCAAAGCAAATGTGATATACTGATGTACTCAAACTATGACCACAAAGTTCTAAATTACTATGAACAGAGAGTGCCTTTTCCAGTTGAAAATCAGTGTATAATTAAGCTCGACAGACAAAAGTTTATCTAACTGAAAGCAGCGCAATCAACAATGCAGCAAACTGTGTACCTAGTGAGGTTGTCTTTCCACCGCCATTCACTCCCACGATCATGATGACAGCCGGCTTCCTGGCACAACGACAGAGCCCATTGAGACCTCTCAAACCTCAATCAACAAAAGATTCTCGTAGGCAGGAGGGAGCAGAACCTGAAGCCGAGATTGAGCTCCGAGTTGCCGCCCTTGCTCGTCAGCAGTTCCAGGATGCACCTTTTCAGCGCGGCCTGCACCACCATCGACCATCAACAGTTCAACACTGTAAAATGTAGTCGCTAAACAGCTAAATAAACGAAAATGTTCAGTGAAACTGAAAAACAGCAGCCGAGACCGATCGAATTGACCTTTATCTCGGCGCCGGACTTGAGCTTGCCGTCGCGGATCTCCTCGCGGAGCGTGTCGACGATCCGGAACGAGATTTTGGGTCCGAAGTCCGAGACCAGCAGCGCCTGGGTGACGGGTGTGCATCAGCAAGGAACACCATCAGAACCGAACCGATGGAGCAGACAGCAGAGAGAGAGTCCAAGGGAGAGGTGAGGCGGTGCTGGCTAGGCGCACCTCCTCGAGGTCGTCGAGGACGCGGTCGGTGTCGGCGAGGTTCCAGTAGGTGAGGAGCTCGTCGACGACGGAGAGGTTCTCGCGGGTCTTGGAGAAGCCGGAGAAGAGCTTCTCGACGTCGCTCTTGGCCTTCTCCTTGATGAGGCGGCCGAGGCGGGTGAAGAAGCCCGCCTGGCCGGCCGCGGCCGAGCAGCGCAGGAGGCCAGCGCGGCGGCCAGGCTGGGAGTGGGAGCGGGCGCGGGCGGAGGAGGCGGCGCACCCGCCGGCGGGGGAGAGGAAGGGGAGGACGTGGGAGGGTGCCGCCATTCCGGGCGCTGCGGATACTAGCGCTGATGGTTGTGGATAGCGCTGCGCTGGTGTGTTTCTTCTCCACGACAGCGACGGACAGGATCCGGTGGGCTTAGGGCCCAAAACGAACGGGACTCGAATGTTTTTGGATGTAGCCCACGAATAGGCCTACAAACCGCGCATGGACCAACACGTAATTTTTTGTTCCCTCCGGATGTCTTTGTAAGGACTGCAGTATAGGAGTACACGTGAAATACGGCCCCATTTCTTCAAGAAAACAAAAGCAGTGATGCACATGAATTATACCCTCCACTCAAAAAAAAACATGAATTATACCCTTCATTGTCTATGAAAAATTAACCATGTATTATAATTAACTCTCAAACACTATCATAAATTATAGAATACTAATTTACGAATGATAAGGAAAATACATACAATGCATGTCTAGTGGAATCCTCAAAACCTTAGTATGGACTATCTGGGGAAATCAGTAAAACATATGGACGGACCAAGTACTCCATCTATTTAAATTATAAAGATGTTTTGGTTTTTTTAGGTACGTTGGTTTTACCATGTATCTAGATATAGCGTATAGTGCACAGCAAAAACTACATATCTAAAAAGATAAAATGTTTTATAATTTTAAACCAAGGGAAAACATTATCCAAGTTCCAACCAACCCTACAAAGTCACGTCACACGTTATGGAACCACCAGAACAACAGTGTTCTTTGTAAATTGAGTCGACCTGATGAATAGTTGCACCTCCCATTTCAAATACCATTCCCTGAGCTAGCTAGAGTTTGGATCGAAGCGGTGTGAATGGCCCTGCTTCCTATTATATATAGGAAGGTCTGCGTATTTCCCACCATCGGACGAGACCTTTAGGCCCTGTTTTAATGCAATTTTATAGGAAAAGCACATTAACATGCTTTTTTACGTGTTCCAAATTAAACAGGGACTTTTTTTTCCTTTCTGCCTCCTTCCCAAAATAAATATAAATACTCATATGATATCTCAAAAAGTCAACTAATTTTAAATTTAACTAAATTTATAAAAAAAATAGTATCAATATTTATACATCCAAATAATAATGCTTATTTATAATCATGAACATTAATATGTATATATATATACTTGGTCAAACTTGAGATTGGTGATATATTTCTCAAAATATGAGGCGTGCATTTATTTTGGTAAGAGAGCCTATTTCACAATAATTTGTTGCTCGACACTCAACGTCACTTTAGTCGCTAGATTGAAAAGGTTAAATGAGCTAATGGGTTTGAGCTCCTCCCCTGGTGGCGGAAACATCAATAATGGCGTCGACACCCTGAACCGAGAGAGAGGGAGTGAGTGAAAAAAGTAATATCTTTTATTTCTTATATGGTACTCCCTCCGTCTACAAAAGAATATAATTATGGTATCTGCGTCAGTCAATTGAGCTCAAGTTTGACCAAATTTATAGTAAATAGTATTAGCATTTATGTCTCTAAATAAATTTATTATGAAAATATATTCTATAACTAATCTAATGATACTTATTTTGTATAAAAAATGTTTGTACTTTTTATTATAAATTTAGTCAAACTTTAGCCTATTTGACTCCTCGAAATTCGAAAATTGCATTCTTTTATGGACGGGGTAGCAGTTCATATGTCTTTGTGTGTGTGTTTTACTATGAATTACTCTATCTCCTTGGTTCTATATTTGTTCTACTAGTATATACTCCATCTGTTCTAAATTATAGATGTTTTGACTTTCCTAAATATATTGACATAGTGTTTATGAATAACCAAAGTTGCGTTTCTACTAAAAAGCTAAAATATCTCACAATTTGAAATGAAGGAATCAGCTAATATTCTAGCGCCTATGAACTCTTTTTGAAGCACATTGTGTGGTTGCTGTTAGGTCTCCGTTGCATACTTTAAGGGTTTTATTGACCCATTTCCATTTTTCTTTAGGATGAAATTAAAATGAAATAACGAAATCTCCAGCTGGTATTTCAAACCGTACACTGCAAAGGTGGCACGTGTTCATAAGTGTGAACTACTACGACGACAGCACAAATCGGAGAAGTGCACGAGATGGTCCAGCACCAGCAGGGGGCCTGCCAAGGAGGACACGGTAGCCCATCAGGCCATCACGTAGTGTAGCACTTTATTGTCAAATCATGAACTAATTAGGTTTAAAAGATTCAGCTTACAAAATAGTCGCAATCTGTGCAATTAGTTATTTTTTAGCCTATATTTAATACTTCATGTATGTGTCCAAATATTTAATGGGATAGAGCGTAAAGTTTTGAGGTGGGAACTAAACAATGGCCAAGTAGAAACACTGTTTTTTTGGTAAATACGTTATAACATAACGAGAATCACGCGGATTCATAAAATTTCTAGCTTCGCCACTGACAAAGTGAAAAGAAATGGTAACTCTCAATAAGAAATGGTAGTTGCCATATTTTAGATATCTAATAATTTTCAAACAATAATCTTAGACAATTAACCGGTATAGTTAAAACAATAATTCACAAGAGACAATTTATAGTTCCTTTTTTATGATCAAACAATGATAAAAATACATGTTGCATGAATAAAAAAAATCAAACAGCTGATGAAGTGATAAGAAATATATGAATCGAGCGCACGGAGAAATAAATCAAACATTCTCTTTGAGCTGTGTCCATGCATGACTAGATAAGTAGACTGCTGCGCTGCACACAACAATGGATGACGACGCGACACGACAGGAGAGAGTACATCGAGACACCATGACACGAAGTGCATGTTTGGTTCTCATCTGCTCACCTTGCCAGGCCAGGCGAGCCGTTTTGGCTCTCCTCTGCAGAAATCAAGACAGCACGAGAGGGAATGGATCAACCTTGCTTGCACTGGCGGAGCTACGTGGTGGCCATAGTGGGCCATGCCCCCCCCCCTGCCTCCGTGATTTGCCAAAACCCCTGTCCTTGCTTGAGCTGTGAAGTCTGTGAGTTAGCAGTAAGTTTGCATGCGTCCTAAGTCTGCATGCATTGTAAGCCAACGGCCAGGGTCAGGCATGCATGTCTCTACGTAGACATAGAAATCGTGTAGCATTTCCTCCGTCTAAAAAATAAAAAAAAGCAATTATGTAGCAGTGGTCCCACCCGCTCGGCTCAGTCGTTACTCCATTAGCATGTTTTCTTGGCTTCTGTTGCTATGCACCGTTTTGAGTCTTGTTGAATTTTCTATCTTTTTTCCTTCTTAACTTTTCAATCGATAAATTCTACATAGTATGTGTATTAGAATTGCTAATTGAGTAATATATATTGGGGTTGTCAATCGATATCTTATGTTGCTTTTTTATAGAATTTTTTATGCTCGGCTATTGTGTTGCTGTGGCTTAATTATAAGTACTTCCATTAATTTTGTTCACTGCTTATGTACATATAGATTGAATTGGCCAATCCCCCCGCCACTGCTTGCTTGGCAAGGTTACAATATGGAAATGGAATCCAAACATTCCCGAACTCGTGATCAACCATCATGCACGTACCACTGTCCACTACGACACATAAAAGCTACCACATTTTGTTATCCTTCACGACAAGATCCAACCACGCCCAGGAGCAACCACCTCGTCACGACCCTAAACCGCTTCATCGGCAGTGTCATCGACGAGCCAATTCCGCCCGCGACTACTCCGACCCGATCGAGAACTCTGAGAAGTTGCAAGCGAGCCGTCCGAGCTGTAAGCAAGCGTCTGAGCTGCCTAGCCATATGCATCTACAAGGACATCGTGACATGCTGACTACTCTACCCGGCGACAATTAAGCTAAGTCACGCTTTAATATTTTTTCAATATTCTCCAAACCTCGTATGTCTCCATGAAATTTCTCCACGTCGTTCTCTAAATGATTTTTTCCTACAAGTATACCCCGTCTAAAAGATGACATACAGTTTCGCCATTGGCTCGCCGACCAGACACGTTTTCACTTGCGTTTTTCAGAAACGGCTGAAAGGACCTAGGATGTCGCATAGAGGAGGGGTGAATAAGCGTTTCTGAAAAATCAACACCTTTAAATGCGGAAACAATTAGAAAAGGGAGTTTCCAAAATGGAATCTCTAAATCAAGAGTAATACCACCCCTCACAAATTAACCACAGAGTAAACAAGCTATAAAGAATATATCTAGAAGCTAGAACCCTGCAACACAAAGTTAGAACAGCGATCAAATAATCTTCAGCCCTGAACTCTAATACCGAACGTGTCCGGTGTGAATACCGGACGTGTCCGGTATACACGATTTCTACAGATCAGCCCCGAACTTGCTCCTCTTGATTTCTATCCTCAAACCAAACAGCAGGCACCTACTAAAGATGACAATATACATAGAGAACCTGCACAAGAGCTGGAGCAACACAAATATCAAATGAAATGCGAATTGAGACACAATATTTGTTTTACCGAAGTTCGGACTCGTTCGAGTCCTACTCTCCGTTGAGGGGGCTGCGGAGCGACCCAGCGAAGGTCAGCCCTAGAGGGTACCACGAAGATCACTCTAGCCGGAGTCTTTTCCAACTCATTTTCCTCCTTCCACTAGTTGATTCCGAGACGACGGAATCGACCGTTACAAACTTTCCGAGGCACACCACAATCTCTCGGGTGCTCTCCGACGACGCCTAACCGTTTAGGACCGAAGAGTCCAAGAGTAACAAATGCAAATCACGAGATTAGACAATATGCACAAGTGCTCAAGTGGTGGCTTGCTCTCCTTTTCAAATTCTCTCTTAACCCACAAATGGATTTTGCGATTTGGATCACACACTCACTAAGAGAGGGTTTGGGAGAGTTGGCAAGACTCAAAAACGTGTATTGCAACCAGCAGAATCAGCAGCCTCCAAAGGTGGAGGCTTGGGGGTATTTATAACCCCCTTGAAAAACTAGCCGTTTTATAGCCGTTGCCATGCCGGACACGTCCGATATGACTTACACTGCGCCAACGGTAACTAAGTTACAGTGATGTTGCGAGGCGTCGGAA